ATTTTCTCCTTCTCTTTGTACTTAATGGTTGTACTATGATTTGTTTAGGTATAGCTTTTTTAGTATTATCTTGCTTGGATTTCACCAATGTTCTTGTATTTCAACAAATTTAAGAAATGTTCAGCCATTATTCATTAAAAAGTTTTTCTCCTGCCCTTTTCTTTCTTTCTACTCCTGAGAGTCTAATTACACACAGATGAGATTGCTTAATACTACCCTAGAGGCCACAGTCTCTCTTGTTTAAGTTTTTTGGTTTTAACCTTTTAATGTTATTCGTTCTTCTTCTGCCATTTCCGGTGTTTAGTTACTGTTCTTTTCCAGTTCTAGAATTCCCGTTTGCTGTTGTTTTTACAGTTTTAAGCTCTCTGCTGATATTCCCTATCTGTGCATTTGTTAAGACCATATTCTTCTTTGCATCCTTGGACTTGTTTATAAAAGCTGCCTTATAGCCTGAGCAACAGCGAGACCCATCTCTACTAAAAATAAAAAAATCAGCTGGGTGTGGTGGTGTGCGCCTGTAGTCCCAGCTACTCGGGAGGCTGAGGCTGGAGGATCGCTTGCGCCCAGGAGTTTGAGGTTGCTGTGAGCTATGATGATGCCACAGCACTCTAGCCAGGGTGACAGAGTGAGACTCTGTCTCAAGAAAACAAAAACAATAATGAAAAAACTGCCTTAGTGCCTTTGCTAAATCTAATATCTGGACCATATCATGGTCTATTGGTTTTGACTCCTTTTTTGTTGACCGTGGGTCATATGTAGGAAGTTTTGTCAAATGTATTTACAAATGATATGCACCCCTGGAATTTACACCCAGGCAGGATGTGGAGCATTTACACTACTCCGGTCATTCCTCACTCCCCATAGGCAGCCAGTGTCCTGGTTTCTATTGCTGCGGATTACTTCTGTGATTTCAGATAAACAGCACTGTATGATACATGCTGTTTTTGTGTCTGGCTCTTTTGCTCACCATATGTGCTTAAGCCTTCCATATGGTTCCTTACATCAGTAATTTATTCCTTGTTATTGCTGAGAAATATTTCACTATCATGCATTGGATTTGCTGAAGAAACCAGGTTCTTATATAGTGGACTGGTACAGTAAGCTGGGTTCTTGCACAGCGTAGACTCTGCACGTTTTTCTTTTTGCTGGTTGCATTCCCATGAGGTTGTTTCCTGTAAACTGGTGGTTAGATCCTGAGCCTTGATCAGATTTGGGCTAACTTGAGGTGCATGTGTGCGGTGGGGAGGTTGGAGACACATAATATCTGGTCCCTCATCCTGTGTATGTGCAGCCTTTGATTGATTATTGACTGGATTCTTATTTAACTGGGATCATCCTCGCTCTAGAGTGTGACTTCCCTTTCACATAGAACTCTAGATTGTCCATAATCTTTTTCTGCCATGTTGAGATTATATTGTTTTGGCTCTTTTTTCATCTTACGCTTATTTTTTGTTTGTCTTCCCTCTTTTGTTTCTTCCCTGTTTTTTGCCTTCTTGTAGATTATTTGAATTTTCTAAACTCAGTTAGAAGGTATCTCTTGGTACTATAGCCATCTCTTTGCTTTTTTTTTTTGGTGGTTGCTCTCATGATTACAATATATATTCCTCACTTTTCACAGTCTACTTAGCCTTAATATTATACTACTTTATGTAAAATGTAGAAGCCTTACAACTGCATTGGTCCGTTTACCAGTTGCATCGCCAGTGAGTTTGGAGTCCCTTCGGGGTCAGCATGGAGTGGGCGTCTGGGGGTGCTGTGCCTGTCTGTTGAGGCAGAGCACACACATTCCTCAAGGACACTTGTTCTTTTTAAAGTGTTCTATGGATACAGCTTTTGTCATCTATGACTTGGATTAGATTTTACTATAAATTAGGGAAAGTAATCAGTATCAGACGTATTAGGTGCACCTTTGATCCCAGCCTTTGGTAGTTAACAGGTAAGCAGGTAAGTAGTTCGGAGTGTCTGTCCCTCTCTTGTAACAAATGACACACCCAGCACCCTTTCCCCAAAAGGTCAGTTTCATCATCTTCCTTCAGTAAATAGTTATGAAAAATTAGAGTTGAACAAGACATAGTCCCTGACCTCAAAGAGCTTAAAGTCTAGACAGGTAGCTATATGTGTGTGTCATTGGCTATGTGACTTAAAATCAAATCCCATTTTAGTCTAGGGCAGAAGTTAGTTCTCATACCAGTTAGTGAACAGGACAGGGGTGGCTTACCCTTCCCATACTCACGGGGACACTGCGTGTTAGAATGTTTCACAAGTACCCCAATTACGGCTGTTTAATCGGAAACGGAAACATGTTTCAGGGTAACTACAATAGTACTGTGTTTTTCTAATACTCATTTCTTAAGGATACCTTTTTTGATTTCTGTTGCTAGATTTGCTTACAAATGACGTTTGGCAAATATCCAGGAAAGAAAATGTCTTTGTTTTTGTTTATCCCTTTTCCTTTGAATGTTGTTGACAGGACACAGTAGCTTAGCAGCCTCCTACTTGAATCCAGTGAAGTCCTTGGTGCCACAGATGCCAAAGCTCCTGAAGTCTCTCTTTCCTGTGCGGGACGACAAGAGGGGCAAACGGCCATCTCCCCTGACACACCAGGTAAAGAGCATCAGGAAAGCAACCGCGACCCTGTTTCTAATGGACAGCTGGCGAACTGACCCTCTGTTGCGCCCACGCTAGAGGTAGCGTGGCGTCGGGGAAAGGATTAGAACTGGGTTTCACCCGGGAAAAGCTGGTGGTCATTTCTCTCCCACTGTCTTTGAGATAACAGAGCTGTTTAAGCTTCCTGACACTCTCCCTCCTTTCTGCTTTTAAAAAATGCCAAGGACACTTCTAATGTGATTTATGGTAACATCACTTAGAGCAACAATAGTAAAATTTATGAAGTGCACTTAGTGTTGTTTGTGTATTGCCAAGTAGAAAATGTAATTCTATTTTTAATTCTTGATTTCATTTCTTTTTTCAAACAATTTTATATCATGACTGTCCTTCTCTCTCAACCTGTATTTCCTCTACCGTGGATAAACTGCTCTTTCACTTAAAAGTGATCACTTGTCTTATTTCCTTTTTTTCTTAAAACTCTCTCCCCAGCCCTAGGATAAGTGTTAGAGAAAATGTTAAAGGGGTTTTTTTGTCCAAACAACCAGGAAGCTGCTTTTATGCAATGGCGGATGGGAACCCCATAGGAAATGCAATTTCTAGCTTTATGTAGGTGTTAACTCAGCAGAAAATGATAAATGAGGGTTTATTTATGCTCATTCAAAAACATACAGTGCAAGTTCTGTTGTTGAAATAGGTCTTTTGACATCAGCTTCTCCATGTTCTTTTAAACATTTGAGGTGCAGAAATGCAGGTGAGTAGTTGTCTGAGACTTAACCATTTAAAAGAATTTTCTGAGGTTTTGAGTGCATATTCAAGGGAGACGGAATTGGTTTTATAAGATTACTGTGCAGATATGTTATTTTTTAACTCTGGGCAGAGCATACACATTATATAAGCATATGCATATACATACATGTACACACAGTGGATAAAAAAATTAAACGTTGAGATTTTGCAGATGTTTAAATTGTATTTACCTCAGCACCCGTAGGGGTGCTTGACAGTTGTTGAAATGGATCTGTGACTAGGGTAGCTAAGTCATGGGGGTGGGCAGGGGTAGGCACAACTGATTTTTCCCAGTGGTGTGTTTTGTGTAAATATTCTCTTCTAAACTGCTACGTCATTGTTTCACAAAGTATGATTCATGAACTCCTGTCAGATTTACCAAGGTAGCTGTTTTAAAAAAAAAATTTCTAATTAGTAGCAGTAGTAAAGTTTGATAACCACTGTTTTTCACTTGCTATTCAGTGAAGGCAGAGTCACGAAAGTTGAAGGAAATCGGAATTGTGTTAGAAGTCATTGAGCCCGCCTACCATAATTACAAATATTTTTTTAAAGCTGTTTTCAGTTTTTGATGTAGCAAGTCAGGTAACCTGCTGCACACAAACACTGATTTATACTCGTTGTGGCTTTAAGTGATTGGCTCTCTGGATGTGAGAGGAACGACCGTGTATTAGGAACAAACGTAGTGATTGGAGGTAACTGGAATTTGTAATGTCCCGGTTAGGAGAGCTTCTCCTGAAATATGTGGAAGATTTCAGAAACAATTTTTATTTGTTAATTCAAACTTACTTATTTTTTGAGCACACATGAACAAAGGTGTTGGGGATTCTGACAAATTTATGAAATTTGTCATGTTTCATAAATAAATGAAAATAGAAATCTCAAACTGTCATAAGAACAAAGGAGCTCGCACCATCCTACCCGAGCATGCTTCCCCCACGCCCAGCCTGGGCTCTCTTGCTTATTCGACAACACTCAGAACACTGCACTTGGTTCTGGATTTGCGACTAGCCATGCGGTGACCGGTTGGAATTGTTTAAGAAAATAACGTCAGAAATGATTTACGAGGGAAGATTAAAGGAGTCATTTGTGGCTTCACCAAACGGTGCCTGAGAGAGTGACTGTATGAGCATTCAGGGGACGTCGCTGCCGGAGGAGGCGAGAGTCCGTTAAGGATGTTTCGCTAAAGCAGTGGGGTGAACGTCATAGGACAGTAGAAATGAAAGTGACAGAGAGAATGGTGACAACTAGGAGTAAATACAGTGGTTTCTAGGTAGCAAAGTACTCTCTAAAATAACAAAGTGGCATTTTCGTCACTTCAGTTTTTTAAAAACAGGACGTTGGTGAAAATATAAAATAATCCAGGAAAGGGCGCAGGAATGGAGTAGGTCCTGTTTCTGCCAGGCGTTCCTCATGTTTTCACTGTGAGATTAGGTGGAAGAGGGCACAAGTTGTGTAATGAAGGAATGATTATCATCAAAAAAATACTTTTAATCAGAGTGTCCTTGACATTTTCAGACAAGAACGTTCAGTTCCCTCCCTCATGCAAAGATACACGGACACGCACCCGCGGTGAAGCTCCAACAACAACACAAATGCTTATTGACTTGTGCTTTGGAATTGGCGGGGTCTCAGATGAAGATGCTGTTGTTTTCCTCTTATTATATTTCGATATTGTGTATCAGATGGATTTGACAAGGTTCTTGGATCTTGCAAGATGGAAGTTAGTTTATTCTGAAGATTTAAAAACAAAGGTTATGATTTACAAAATCTTTTGATTTGAACATACTCATAAAGACTTTTCATTTCTCATATTTATGGAGATTTGTTATTTGTAATCAATTTCTGTCTGAGTTCCAGAAATGCAAAGAATATTGCACTGAAAGAGGTGGCAGCTGACAAAATTGCTGTCTTTGACCTTCTGATGCAAGTTTAGTAACTAATCTGGAAAATAATGAACTGCAATTAATGAAATCTGTACTCATATTCAAGAGTGTTTCTCAGACAGCACATAAAATAATTGAAAGAACTTCCTGCTCTCTAATTAGTTAGATTGAATTAATTTGGCATAATAGCTTTTTTCATATATCAAGAAGTTTGTGTTCGGATGAAGAAGCTATTTATGTATTTCAAAGTTAGGGATTCTAAATGGTGTCTTTGATTAATCTGGGGAATTAAAGAGTTAATGGTCAGAGATTTACCATCAAAAGCTATTTCCGGCCTGTCTTTATTTTAGTGTCTGTTGCTTTTGGTTAGGGCTGCTTTATCAACAGCAGGGATGTTTTTCTCCTGTTTCTAACTAGCCTCCAGTGTGGCAGGTAGATAAAACCTTGAGTGGAGAGAGCAGTGCTCTGCCATCTCTGGTTTGAATACCTGTATAATTGTCCTTTTTCCATTACTGTGACTCTTCCATATACGACATGGGGAAGCCAGCACAAATGCTGTTTCTCTTGTACACAGGGATGCTGTTTCAGGCTAGTCATACTTGGGCTTCCTTGATGAAACAAACTATATAAATGCTTATCTTTGCGTCTCGAATAAGGGTTCGTTATCCTAACTAACTAAAAGAAGAAAACAGACGTATGCCTTGTTTTGCAGCCTTCAGTTTCCCTTAATCATTCAGGTTATTTTGAGAATCACATATATGAGCATTTTTCCTGTCATTTAATACCGCCGTAATGGACGTGCATGGCTGTGACGTGCTGCGTTCACCGTTGGAGTCAACAAAGGGAAGTTGGCACAGGCCTTGTGGAGCAGTCTTTTTTTTTTTTTTATTTCAAGGCAATTGGTTTTTTTTCTTTTGTTTTGTTGTTGATTTTTTGGGCCTTTTTACCCTTGTTGGACGCTTTTTTTTTTTTTTTCGTTTTTCCAAAGTCTTACCTTTTTGTTGCTTGGTTTTTTTCCGGAATTTTTTGGTTATTTTTTTGCCTTCTTCGGGGTTCTTAGTTTGCCAAGTTTTTTTTCGGATTCGGTTTTGTTGGTTGTTTTAAAAATTATTGATTGTTACTTAAACTTCCTTCCGCAAATGAGACAATTCCTGAGGGAGTGTAGGAGTCAACTGACGGGGTCGTCTGCCAGTGTTTCCCAGAAAGGGCGTTGCGTACTTCAGCGCTGTTCTCTGCCCCAGGAGCTGGCAAACTTTTTGTAAAGGGCCAGATAGTAAATATTTTAGGATTTGCAGGCCATCTGGTCTTTGTACAAACTAGACAGTATTAAACAAATGAGTCTGGCTGTGTTTCAATAAAACTTTATTTAATTTTCACATGTCATGAAGTATTTTTTGCTTTCTTTCAACCATTAAGAATGTAAAAGCACTGAGAGGTTGAGACAGGAGGATCACTGACCAGCCTGAGCAACATAGCAGTGAGACCCCATCTCTACAAACAAAACAAGAATGTAAAAGCTATTTCTTAGCTCACAGGGCGTACTAAGCAGATGACAGGCTGGATCGAGACCCTACTTATTTATTTATTAAGAGGGTACTGCAGGCTGGAG